GTAAGTAATATAGACTGGAGTTCAATGTCATGTGTCATTCTCTGGGAGTCATCCACCTTGTGTTTGAGACAGGATCTTAGGCTGGTTGGAGGCTCTCCAATTGGCTAGGATCCTCCTGTCCCTGCCTGCCCTGCAGTGGTGTTTCAGGTGTTCACCACCACACGACATTTTTACATGGGTTTTGAGGGTTAAGCAGGTTTTATGCTTGCGTGGCACTTTGCTGATTGAGCCAACCCCCCATTTACAAAAATGTACTCTTGAAAGAGCTTGTGGATTTGTCCATCTTTCTGTCTCCTTGGGTTGAGGCTTTTTGCTCATCCAAGACATGATATGCTCATTCAGTGAGTGACCTTCACCAAATCTGTGCTGTGCTATTTGGAGTTCACACAACTGTGTGCTGACTAAACCTTTTGCGTCTATAAAGGCAATCAGCTCAGGTATTACATTGTAGGCAAGTAAAGATGGCTAAATGGTGTTTGATCAGCTTTGGAGAGGAACAAAAAGGCTTGCTTTGCAGATCCGTGGGTTAGCAGTGAACTTGACAGACTGAAACCTTTAAAAGAGAGTGAGACATCTGCACTGATAACTGTTCTCTGCTTGGTGGCAGGATGTGCAGCAGGTTCCTGAGACAGCTATTGGCTCAGGAGAGCCAGCACTCCACCCCTGTGGGGCGCTTCCTTCTTCCCGTGCTCACGGGATTCCGTCTCCTGATGCTGGTTTCCAGTGGACCTGGGGTTTTCGGCAAAGATGAGAACGAATTCATATGTCATTTGGGGCAGCCAGGCTGCAAGACCATTTGCTATGATGTCTTCCGCCCTCTCTCTCCGTTGCGCTTCTGGGCCTTCCAAGTCATCCTGATGGCCACACCCAGTGCCATTTATGTGGCATTCACTCTGTATCATGTGATTGGATACTGGGAGGTACCAGGAAAGGAGAATAAGGAGCAAGAGACACGGATTTGCACAGGGGATCATAGCAAGGATATCTCAGGGGCTAAAAGCCTCAAACTTCTCTGGGCCTATGTGGCACACCTTGGGGTGCGGCTGGTCCTTGAGGGAGCAGCTCTAGGAGTTCAGTACCATCTGTATGGCTTCAAGATGCCCAGCACTTTTACATGTCGTGAGGATCCTTGCATTGGCAGCACAACCTGTTTCCAGTCTCACCCCTCTGAGAAGACCATCTTCCTCAATACCATGTTTGGTATCAGTGGGGCCTGTCTCATATTTATTTTCTTAGAGCTTGTGCTTTTGGGTTTAGGGAGGTTTTGGAGGATGTACAAGCACAAACTTCCCTTCTTAAAGAACTTGTCAACCTCAAAGAGCTCCGTAAGACACAAGGACACAACCGACGACTTGTCAGTGGTGGAAACAAAAGAGCCATTTTGAGAAGCAGGTGAGGACCCTAGTGACAGTCATCTGTCCCTGCCTCTGATGTTTCTGTGTTGGCAGTCCCCACCCATGGTAGGCCCCTCATCCTTTGGGGTGTACAGCTCCCCATGTTACAGAGTGTAGACAACCACTTTCCAAGCAGATACATTCTAAAAATAATTTACTTTTTACTTTAAAGTGTGTGTGTGTGTGTGTGTGTGAATTCAGGTGCTTGTGGAGGCGGAGAGGGCAGTAGATCTCTTGAAGCTGGAATTACAGGTAGCTGTCCAATGTGGGAACTGGGAAGCAAACTTTGGTTTCTTTGCAAGAGCAGTATGTACTCTTAACCACAGGGACACCTCTCCAGATCCCAGATGTATTTTTTTAAAGGGATGAAATGTTTACTTTGGTTCACAGTTTGAGGGTACAGTCTCTCATAGTGGAGAAAGCATTCACATATGTATATGAAACAGCCCTGGCTGGCCTGGAACTTGCTATGTAGATCAAGCTGGCTTTGAACTCATGGAGAACCACCTGCCACTGGCTCCCAAGTTCTAAGATTAAAAGTGTGAGCCTCCATTCACAGTTGAAGCAGATATATTTTGATTAGTATCCCCCAAACCATCTCTCAACACCTATCCCTAACAGTTGCACGACTCCTTGTAGTAGACCATGATGAGCACACTGGTCTGTGTACTGCCTGCCCTTTCGTTTGGTAAAGTCTTCAGCTTATGCTTGATTTCTACTTTGCAGAGTTATAAAGTTGCCTGGCTTGCCTGCAGAAAATTCTGGGACTTGATCTTCTTCAATACATCCAGTGAGGTGGCCGGGGAGATGGGACAGTGGGTAAAGTGCTTGCCATCAAGCCTCATGATCTGAGATTGATCTCCAGAACCCACATGGAGAAGGGAGGAAACAAACTCCCACAAATTGTCCACATACATGCTATGGAGAGCGCACACATGCAAACACACACACACACACACACACACACACACACACACAGTAATAATAGATAAAATAATAAAATCTCAGAAAACAAAACCAAACCTCCTGCATCAATTAGCTGTCACTTCTAACTTATCTCTCCTGTCTCTCTACTAAACATAAGCAAACACCAGCCTACCTCCTGTTCTAATGGATTATCTATCCTACTCTGGGATCTTATAGAGATGGAATCATACAATATGCTTATTAATCACTTGTGTATCTTTGTAGAAAAGACCAAGTTTTTTTTTGCCAATTAAAATTAGGTTATTTATTTTTTTGAATTATAAAAACTCTTTATATGTTATGACTGTGAGATACCTATTGACTCATTTCAAGACATTCTCTTCTATTCCATGCATTATCTTCATTTTTTTCATGAGTAGCATTTCTTTAAAATTATCTATTCTTTGATAATTTCTTACATGTATACAGTGTATTTTGATCATGTCTACCCCAGTATCCCTGCATAACTGCTCTTGGATCTCCTGTCATGTCCTAATTTCTTGTCCTCTTCTTTTCTTTATAACACACTGAGAACAAAAATTAGTGTTATTCAAATGTGCATTGGAGTGAGACCATCTACAGGAACACGGTCAACCAACTTGATACCATACATCTGAAGAAGATGGAGTCTTCCTCCTCCAGCATTGATCAACTGCCATCAGTTCCTCAGCTGTGGGTAGTCCCTCACTCATCCATGCTGTAATGCTGAGTGTCTTGAGCTTGTGCAGGCAACCACTGCTTCTGTGAGTTTATGAGTGCAACTCTCTACTGTGTGGAGAAGACATTGTTTTATAGCAGATCTCCCAGAGAACTGGCTCTTTAAAATTTTCTTTCCCATTTCCCTATCTTCTCTGATGTTCCCTTGAGCTTTGGGGGCAAGGGTGTGATAGAAATGTCTCATTTGGGACTGAATACTCCATAGACACCTATTTCTGCATTCACAAATTCTAAGTCTGTATATTGGCCACTGTTCACTGTAAAAAAAAATTTCTCTGGTCAGTGTTGAAAACTGACCTAATCTATGAGTATGGAGAAGCATTTAGAAAACAGTTCGATACTATGTCAATTTAGCAAACTAGTAGTAACTTTTCTTTAGGGCCTTTGAACTCCGTGGATGGGTTCTTGGCCAGATTTGTAATACCAGGCATGGGTTTCCTCCTGTGGAATGGATCCTCAATCTAATCAGAAAGCAGTTGGTTTCTCCTGTATCATCTACATCACTGTTGCACCAATGTGTGTCTTATGAGGATGGTTGTTGGAACTCAACGGATTCATACATGAGAAAGAGTTTTGATGACTAGGAAGGCCAGCCAGCAGGGAGTTGGCAATATTTTTTGATGTACAAAAACTTTACATTTTGATGAAGTCTAATTACTTATTTTTCTTTTGGTGTTTGTGAATTTGGTGCTACATTTAAGTGACCATTGTTTGACACAAAACTATGAATTTACACTTGTGTTTCCATCTAAGGATTTTATACTTTTAACTTGTGTTTATGTCTCTGTTATCTTATGGAGTGGGAAGAAAAGGACAAAGATGACATTATCTTCCTTATTGGAAACAGTGTAAATGAGTAAAATATTTGAAGTATAAGAAGGAAAAAAATCCTGTTAATCTAGAGTCCCATGATTGGCAGAACTAACTCTCAAAAGTAAAGGCAAAAGAAAGGCCTTTGTCTTGATGTGATGGTATATGCCTGGTCTTTTTGTGTGTGTGTGTGTGTGTGTGTGTATGTGCTTGGTCTTATTGTAGCTTGTCGTACAGTGTTTGGTTGATGTCCCTGGAAGGACTGTTCTTTTCTGAGGGGATGTGGAAGGGCTAAGTCTGGGGGGAGTGGGGAAGAGTTGGGGAGAGATTAGTGGGAAGAGAGGAAGGTGAAACTGCAGTTGGGATGTAAAATATGAGAGAAGAATAAAAATAATTTTGAATTAAAAACTAACAAATGAACAAAACCCAAATGTAAATAAACCTAACATCATTAGATGATTACACTAAAAACAAAATTAACAATGTAACTGTCCACCAAATGGATCAGGGAAAATGTGTACATGGTAGAATATTGTTCAGTCTCAAAGGAAGAAGAAGGAGGAGGACGAGGAAGAGGAGGAGAAGGAGGAAGAAGAGGAGGAGGCGGAGGAAGAGGAAGAGCCGGGCAGTGGTGGCGCATGCCTTTAATCCCAGCACTTGAGAGGTAGAGGCAGGCGGATTTCTGAGTTCAAGGCCAGCCTGGTCTACAGAGTGAGTTCCAGGACAGCCAGGGCTACACAGAGAAACCCTGTCCTGGAAAACAAAAAACAAAACAAAACAAAACGAAAACAAAAACAAAAAAAGAAGAAGAAGAAGAAAAAAGGAAATTCTGTAATATCATGGATGACCCCTGAAAGGCATATGTTATGTGAAATAATCCAGACACAAGAGCAGATATGAAGGCAAACGTACATATAGACCACTGAAAATTCAAACTCATAGAAAGAGAGAATAGACTGTTTGCGGCGCGCAGCCTCGCCGATAAGGAGAACGCCACACTCAGGATTCTTCTGACAGTAGTTTATTGTTACAGCTCTTTTAGATGGCAGTGAGGCGAGGGACCCCAAGCCCCCAAATCCTGTGGCTTATATAGAGCCTTAGGAGACGTGCCACACACTCATTGGCTCTTATGATATCACCAAATTAGCATACTGGTTTTCTCGCCTTGCGCAGGCGCACAATCAAAGCAAAGCTCCCAAGAAGAACCAGGAAACAGGAAACCGGGGCCATCTTGCAATGGCGAACGCGGCTCCTGACAACTCCCCCTTTTTTATTAAATTGCTGCAACAATTTTCCAACTGTTATTTAGCTGATCAAGCCCACCGTTCTACCAGTAAGGCGTTCAAGGCAGTTAAACAGTATTGAGACCCTCCACACTTATGTCCCGTGCAATGGGAACCCGAGCCCTGGGAAGTGTGGAGGACTACCACTCAGGATTCCTGGTGCAATGGGAACACGAGCCCTCAGGATATCCCATTGAATGATAGTGTCTCATTGTTTAAGCATATTCAACCAAGCTTGAGGGGATGTTCCCTGCTCTAAGTCAAGCAGTGCTTGAGTGATAAGTACTTTATCTCTACGATGTTGTTTTTTAAATTTGCAGAGCAACCAGAGTGTGATCAGCACTCCCCCAAAGATCATACAGCCAAACATTCCCACCCCCACCCACTCCTTAAAAAAGGAGAAGGCGGACGTGAGCCAGGAAGTGAAGTCTCCAACATCAATCGGGTTTATTCTGGTCCCATTCAAAACAGCAATCTTGAGCAGGAGTTCTTCTTGTAGCTCCTCAGCCTGTTGTGACCAATTTCCTTGCAAAAAATTAAATAATTTAGTACTTTCTGTAAAAGACTCATTGTTATATTTCAAGGGTGTGATACACATGTGTTTAGTGTGACTTACACAGCTTACTTGAAGAATATCAGCAATTTCTTCCATTTTACTTTGTAATAGATCTATTCGCTGATTAGCAAGCAGTATCCCAGAAATCAAATGGCTATTCATTTTATGCTGTTTTACCATAGCATCTGCTGAGGCATTCACTATATTATTTATTGTTTCTGCTGCTTGAACTTGATTGGCTAGGGCAATACCCGCAGTCACCGCTGCAGCAGCCGACACTGCAACGGCCGTCACAATGGCCGCCGTGATGCCAAAATCTCTCTTTTCTCTAATTAAGGAGATTATTGGAAATTTATCGGGATCGGCATCCACCGGTATAGGGACAAAGGTCGGAACCCATACCAGCAGTGCTAAGGATGCAGACCCATTCCAGCATTCTGTCAACTGGCAGGTGACATTTGCACAATCTAATATGCTGCTTTTATTTTTAAATTCTGCTAAAATAAAAAAGAAGGGAGCTGAAACACAAACTGCTGCCCTTTTGGCTGAATAATTTGCCAACAAGTTATTATATTTAATATCATTCAATATCACTGGTGTAGTATTAGTTCTGGTTGCTGATACATTCCAAATGTCATGTTGTGACTCACCTAGAGTTGCAAAGGCTGATAAACTGGTAGCAGCCCCCGCTAAATTTGTCAACACCCATTGATAAAACGGCCATTCGTTTACCTTCCCTGTTTTATTTCCTGTCATAGCCATCCTTTTTAGAGGTGGCGATAAAGTGAACCCTCGAGATACTTCTACCTTAGGCATCCTTTTAGATTGGCAGTGCGTAAACACTGGTGGAAATGACTGATCTGGAGGGCACCATGGCCACACTCTGACATTAGTGACATTATTGGTTTGCCAATATGATCATTCAAGTATGGTTACCTTACTTTTTAGCAATAATGTAGTGATATTCACAGGGGACTGTTTTTTGCTTGATGTATTTCCACTGGCCTCAGATTGTCTTGCCACTATGTTATTGAGTACCTCGAGCAAGACACCAGTGCCTATTTGGGAATCTCCAAGGGGATCAATCCAGTGTCCCAATGTAGCATTGCGAAGTACGATGCATGGGGTCTCTGCCCTGTTTGTTATGGTGAAACAAAAGGTATCATTTAATCTAAATTTTGATGCATTATACTTGACAGTCTCTTTGTTTAAAGGTATGGCACATGGTGCCTCCAGCTGACAGCTCGATGATGTAAACATTGGCAGTACTTTAGAGTGGGAATGTACTGGGATGGGAACTGGCCATGATCTTACCACAGCCCACAATGGTATACTTATCGCTCTCTCAAGCAGGCAGATTATCAACAGGATCTTTAGCATTTTCTTCAGGGGTTGGTGAGTCCTCTTTCACAGTTCTGGTCAGTCTGCTTGGTATCCAGATTGGATTTTCTTGATCCTGTGGAAAAACACAGATAGCTCCCCTAGATATCACTAAAACTGGATCCAGGCCCTTCCATTGGTTAGTTAAGACATCTTTCCATTTAACATATTCTTTTTGAGGACTTGGAGCCACATGTCTGTCAGCAGCAGATTGTCCATCAGAATCCAGATTTAAAAAATTTAAGGTAAATAGGGCTAGGGAGATAGATGTCTTAGGTCCCATGTTGGGGCCTATTCCTCCCTTTTGTTTTTGTAAATAAGTTTTCAACATCCCATTGGCACGTTCCACAATCTCTTGTGCCTGAGGATTATATGGCAAGC